ACAATAAGCAAATTGGAATAAAAGAATATAAAACTAGAAGATTTCATGCCTAAACCTGCAAACAGAGATGAAACATGACCCAGATCATTTGGCAGCACTGACAGCTCTACAGCACGAGTGTAACTAAAACTTTAAATAAAGTTTACACAACAACACTACAAGAAACAGGCTTTTATTTTGCAAAAAAAGATTAACAGAGCTCAAAAAGACGACAATCCAAACTTCAAACTACGAGTGTTTAAATTGACGGCTGTAACTCGTAGCCCAGCGGGTCGAGTCCTTTGTCCAACAGAGAGAGAGACGACTCCCTCAGCTTCTGCAGGAACCTCCTCAGCTCCTCTTTAGAGAAAACCTGCATTTGTGGAGAGAAACAGAATAAAAACCACAAACTGGTCGTCACTTTGATTCTAGACAGAAACAAGAGCAAGAACAGAGTCTGTACGAATCAACCTGCTGAAACAGAAAGTTTGTACTTCAAGATGCTCCTCGTAAACATTTTTCTTAAGAGTCTTGGGTCTTTACCTGGTAGAGACGGTGTTGGTCAGATGAGATGATGTCAGCTAGACGCAGCGCCTCCTGGTGTCTGGAGGAGTTCTGCAGCACGCTGAGCAGCAGGAAGCTAAGTCGAGGAAGACACAGAGAACGCAACACCACCATCTGGTGACTGCGCTCTGAGTCCTGCTCTGAGTCCTGAAAAACACACAACCAAAATAAGCAACAAGGACCTTTTTGAGAAATACCTGAAGCTCAGATTTAGAGTGTAAAAGTTTCCTTGATGTAGAAATCATATATCCCATCGTAAACAGTTACCTGTCTGTTGTCAACCATCCATCCTCCATCGACGAACAGCAGCACATTGTAGATTCTTTCTTTCACGTCTTCAGTCAGAACGTCCAGACGACAGGACCAGGTGGAGAAAGACGACTGTAGGACACAAAAAGACAAATGAACTCGACCTACAAATCCTGATTCAAGAACATCTAGAGGGATTTTCACACTGATCAAGGAGGGTTTGTTTAAAATAAGAAAGCAGTGTGTAGAATGTGTGTGTACCTGGTACTCCTTCTCTCTCATCTCATTAGCGACCCTCTCAGTGAATTTGGCCTCCGGGACTGGAGCCGGCTTCTGGGGGGCAGAACTACTGTGACTGAACCAGTCAGTGAACGCCTCATGAGCTTCCTGTGAGACGATAAGAACATCATGATCAGATCAATCAACCTCATTGATCACTACACAACAGACTGAGGCCATGCTGTCACTACAGTACAGTGTTTGTACTCTTGCCTCTTGTCCTCTATAGGAGACAACTGTCTCAGGGTCTTTGTGTGTCACCTTGATCCTCTACATCCGCACAGGAAGTTAACATTATTCAAACACAATGGAGGCAGCATGTTTGGTAACAGCCATCAAAACAAAGCATGAAACCGATGGATTTTCTGTAATCTGCAGCGTCTCCTGCCGACATTGTCTCTGAGCTCATCTTTTCATTTGATGGTATTGATATTTTAAAGTCAGCACTTGTAAATATGAAAATCAGTCGATATAATATAATAATGTTTAGTCATACTATCGATAGTTACGTCCAAATCAGTCTCGATATTATTTGAAACATTAAAACAGAGACTGGAAACAGACCAGGTAGGCTCTGATACACAGGTGTTCTCTGATGGCGTTCTCATCCTCGGCGGGTAAAGTGGCCTGACCGATGCCCGCCCACTGGCAACAAATCTCCTTCATCGAGTCCTCCGGAACTTTGGAGAACACCGCCTTCGCTGCATCGTGTTTCTGCAAAGCTGAGAGAGAAAGACAGAGAAGAAATGCATCATGGTCCTCACTGGCAGCGATGGGAGAAATATTACCATGAAAAATCTAAACCTGGAAAATGCTTTTTAATTTCCCGTCCTTAGATTGTTGATTTATTTCAGTTTTGTTGATTTCCATGTTCACAATGAAAACTGACTGTGTTTAAAAGTACAGTAGTAGATAAATTTATTTCTCATTGTTGTCAGTCAGTTATTGGACAAATAAATAACACAAATAAAAAAAAAATACCCAGAAACTTCCTCATGATGGCGTTGGACTGTTTAAGGGCTTCGGCTCGATGGGCGGGGTCAAACAGCAGCCAGTCGATAATGTCGATCTTCCTTTGGTCCTCCTATCAAATCACAGTATCACTGTAACTACACTCGCTTTTATTAACTCTACACAAACAACAGTCATTCAGTCATTTACCTGTTAACACCTGCTTTAGTTTGAGTCTCAACAAAACAGTTTTTAGTTGGTTTTCTGTACCTTTGTAGTCGCCGTCTCCAGCGTCTGGCTGTGATGAATAAACTCTGTGTCGTCTCTCTCCCTCACAGTTTCCACCACCAGCTTCGTTATCGCAGCGACGTCCAGACCTACAAACACGATCGGTTTTCTCTCAATAATAATAATACCTGTTGTTTTTCCACACGCAACGTTTATGTTTCACTATTTTCCATCTCACCTGCTTCAGTGGCGAGCTGCAGACAGCGGGGGCGGAGCTCAGACTGGGTGACGGTTTCCAAGAAGGCGGCGTACTGAACTGTGGCGAGCTCGGCCGGGAGCTGGCCGACGTAACTCGCCACGAGGTCGGTCTGCTGATCCTGAATCAGAAGGGAAACATACGCCTTCAACACGTCCACGCACAGCTCCTCCTTCAGCGCCAAACCCAGAGAGCGGAAGAACAGCAGGAGGTGAGACATGAAACGCAGCAGGTGGGAGGGGAGGGGCTTAGAGGATTTCAGCCAATCAGAAAACTCCTCCATCAGCCCTGAGAGAGACACAGAGAGGTTGAGATTCAGGTCATGTTTCAGATTAAGAGGGTGAGGAGATGAGGGTGGGGGGTGGTTGTTACCGTCCAGGTCTCCCAGGATGGCAAACTTCTGGATGACGTGGTAATGCTCTCTCGTCTCCTCCAACACCCTCTGCACACAAACAAAAAGCAGCTGGGATTGTACTCGATCCAGTCATGTGACTTTAACATTCACCGATCACATCGAGTCCGAGTTTCACCTTCGATTCTGAGGCTTGAAGCTCCTCAAACACCTTTTCCATCGTCCAGCTGAGGAACCACACGGGAAAAAAGTAAAACCAGTGACACATGAACTACGGTGATATGTGTTTTATATTCAGGCTAATGTGTGTGTATGTGCTCGTGTGGGTCATACTTCGCCTCCAGGTATTCTCGCGGCAGTGTCTCCACTTCCTGGTGGGCCATACCCGATGACATCAGATCCTTTTCAACCAGCGAGTCGACCATCACTCTGAAGTACGCCCACACGCAGTCCTCCCATGATTCACACACTGCCAGGAGCTGACACACAACACACACACACACCATCACCATCTGGATCTATACACACTAATCCGCAGGCTGATTATTGAATCTTTATTATTGCAACCTATGAACATATGATTTTTACCGGTTTGAGGTTTCCACTCAGGCTGGCGTAGATCGCTCTCTCGTATCTGTTTAACTG